AAATTAGATGCGAAATGTTATTTGTCTAAGTGAGATTTGAATATATTTTATTAAACGTTGCTCATATTTGTGTAATGAATAATTCAAGCACTGCGAGATACAAATATTTGTTTAATTCCTGTATATCATATCATATAACTTTTCATCATGTGATGTGGTAATTTCTATGAATGACATTTATTACTTTACATTACTTATTCATTAGAGGTTGTAAGTTCGATTTCCCGATCCGTATTATTCACAGATGGCTTTGTTTTATTCGTATATTTAGGACATATAGTGCACATTTCTTAGGGTTCCGTAGCTAAAATAAAAAAAAAATGCGTTAGCACTCCGTACTGAAGAGTAGAAAAAATTCCGAAACCCTGTGGGTATCTCTGTATAGGTTTTCAAAATTGAAATAGATGTTTCTAAATGAATTTATTGAAGTCAAAAGTCGGCGTATATTATCATGCAAAATACAAACAAGCATTTATGCAATATGGTGCTATTTTACGTAAACAAAAGTTTATTTTATTAAATTATTTATTTTTTTGTGATGTCATCTAGAAGTAACTAAAACGATTGCGAAAGGTGGTATAATATTATATTTATTAATTCACAGTATAGGTCATATCATCATTGTATCATTTACATCTTTGCAATGTGTAAATTTGATCATTTCCCACAAAAAAATAATAATAACTGTAATAAATAAAAAGACAAACGTAATACACAGTACTCAGTATCTTCTTATAATATAAAAATGAATCGCTGAATGTGTTGGTAAGCGCAAATCTCGAGAGCAGCTGAACCGATTTCGCTAATTCTTTTTTTAGAATATTCCTTGAAGTACGAGGATGGTTCTTACGGAGAGAAAAATTTAAAAAATTGCCTGAAAAATAAAAACAACACTTTTTTATACTCCCTTACAAAAGATTCGTAATAATACTTAAAAGTCCATTTGAACTTTAATACCATAACATAAAGTTTAAGTGTTAGTGGCGAGGTTCCAGGAAGGCAAAACATTGATGGCAATTGAGTGACGTTAGAATCGTATCAATATTAATGTCAATATTTGTCAATATTATTAACAAAAAAAAATGATATGGCTAATGCTGGCTAATAACTATTTATATCTATTTAAAACGTACCTCGCGACGAACCCGAGCGAAGCGAGGGTGAGCCGCTAGTGTAGATATATAATAATACCCATGCTGCTTGATATTAAAAATAAGAAAATGGATAAATCGAACTCATGATATTTTACTCAGGAGAAAAGTCCATAGGTATACCTACTATTCTATACCAAAAAAATTTCTTCACTTATTTTGTTAAATATAAAATCCCATTCAGAATTTCGTGTAAAATAAAATTTAAAATACACTCTTAAACTTCATTATGCATTTCAATTGCAACTAGAATAGCAGTTTTTGCTCATTTTCACAACCAACGTGGCTACGTTGTGGAACAACTAATAAGAAATGAAAGTGTTAATTGAGAAAGAGATAAGTATAAAAACAGCACGAGTTAAAAGAAATTTAACGTTTTTCTTTGTTATTATACATTTTAATGTAGGAAAATTTTGTATTATGTAAAATATTATTTTAAATAGCGAGTCATAAATTTATGATATAACTAGCTGTGCCCCGCGGTTTCACCCGCGTTATATTTGTTTAATTATAAACAACAATAGTTGTTTTAATATTGATAAATAACCAGTCTTTAATCGTCTTTATAAATCAGAAGAAAAATGAGATTTAAATTGATACTTTTATTTAAATAAATTTTTGGATGTTCCATTTTTGAACTTATTTTGAAAAAGCTAAGAAACATGATAATTTAAAAATGGTTCACTTTTGCGTAATGCATATGGGGGGTTGAAATTATCGCAAATAGTCACCCCTATCACCTTCTAACGGGAATACGTTGAATTATCATTAACCCTGTATATACGATCGGCCTTTAGCCGTGACCTAACTTAAATGACGCTATCTACTAACAGAATTAATATAAAATTCCTATCTCGTGAAAAATATAAGCTATTTTTTTCATAGTAACTGAATTAGCAGTTCCAGAAAAGCATACAAACAAAAATGTACAATTTTACATGTTTAATTATTGTATATTAATAATGACTAGTGTTCGCCCAGTGGTCTGGTATATATATATTCTATTATTTTTTTGCGTCGTTGTTTTAAACATTTATTTGATTATGTATAATTAAATCACTTTAAAGGTTAGGTTTTTTAGATGATTGAGGTCCCGTTAAATTTTTATATAATATAAATTATATATATAACTGCCTCCGTGGTGTAGTGGCTAGCATGTACGGCTGCACACCCGGAGGTCCTGGGTTCGAGTCCCGGGTCGGACCAAGTTTAGTTATTGAGTCTTTCTGTATAAGTAAGCCTCAGTAACAGCCCGGAGTTGGGAAGTTGGCGGTGTTTCACCCCCGTGCCTCGGAGAGCACGTAAAGCCGTCGGTCCTGCGCCTTAACTCTCACTGGTCGTGTCGAGCAGTCGTCCCACCGGAGTATGAGAGTGACAGGAATAGAGAGTGCACTTGTGTCTGCGCGTACACTTGTGCACTATAATATCTCCTGCGCAGTTGGCTAGTCTCAATGAGATTGGCCGCCGTGGCCGGAATCGGTCGGGAGAACATCATATATATATACGTACTGAGTATATTGCGTTAGTAATTTCTGGATTTTATTCTTGAATTTCGTGTTCACAGCGAGTTAAATGAAACGCGAATTGTTTTAGGTCCACTGAATGCTTTGAAATTGTAGTTAGATGGAGATTTTTTGTCATTTCTGCAGGCATATGACGCGGTCTGCGGTAAAAAGGCAATAAAGGCACCATCCATACATTTCATGTTGAACACAAAAGTAAGAAAATAAAACTCATACGAGTTGCTGTAGAGTAAGTGCAATATTAAAGCGTTTTTGTCAATCATATCTACATATATTGATGATGAGTGTTTGAGGTATTTACAGTTTATTTTTATGGTACATACCAAATTTATTGTATTAAAAGTAAAATAATATATTTGTAATATATCAGAATAACATATTGGCTACTTTTTATCCCGGAAAAATGTACGGTTCCCGTGGGATAGACTAGTTTTTGTTTTTTCAGAGACGAACTCGAGCGAAGCGAGAATTTTCGGCATTTTAATGTGAATAAAAACGCAATATATTATCTTAAAACCGCAACAACATATAATATTATGTTTTTCAATCTCACAATATCCTTTTTATGGCATACAAGAATGATACAATGCAATGCACTTTTCAAAACTTCTGTGTTTTGATGTTTTGTTACACATCTGATAAAAGTATAATTGTTTTATATAGGAAATGTTACTGTTCAGGCTTTCTATTAAGTATAACTCAGTATTTGTTGAGTTTTGAACTACCATTCATAATTGAATTGATAAAATAATTTATTTTTTTTCAATATTATCTTAAACTAGCGACTCACCCTCGCTTCGCTCGAATTCGTCCCTGGCTTGCTTCCCAATACAAACTTTCATCCCCATTTTCACCCCCTTAAGGGGTGACTTCCGAAATAAAAATATCCTATATCCTTTCCAGGGTCTCAAATTATCTTCTTACCAAATTTCATCTAAATCGGTTCAGTAGATCCAGAGGTTACCCCCTACAACGTCACAAGCTCACAAACTTTACCTCTTTATAATATTAGTATAGATTAGGTAATAAAGTTAAGTAATAGATAACATTTTTCTAACGACTAAGTTATTCCTTATTCGATTACAATTAGTGATCTGGTGATATAATAGAACATAATTAGTGATGATAGTGATGAATTTAATAAATCGGACTAATATCATATGTACATATGTATTTGCGAAGGTTTTTACGTGTATATACGCGTACTATGTAACTTCTTCAATGCTGGATGGCTGGACAGATTTTGATAAAAATTAGTATATAGAAAGACTATGATCTGGAGTAATATATAGGCTATTTTGTTGGGAACGTAGAAGCGCGTTCAAGCAAAGCGAGATTAAGTCCCTAGTTTGTTCTTATGCACTGATATATACAGATATTGGAAGAATAAAAATATTAAATAAAATTTAAGTACTTTCCAGGATTAAACGATAAAAATCTTTAAAATTTGTATAATAAAAATGTTTGGTATTTTTATAGAAATATTTTCCCTTATCGTTATCATGCAATGTGACGTGCATGGGGTTAGGCACGCGCGCAAGAGGATTGCGATGAAAGGATTTACACATATCCCATTATCTACCATGTTTAAAGATAAAAATAAAGAATTCAGCAAAAGAAATTGGTTTATAATGTTAAAGATTTAAATTATATTGTTTCAAACATAGACAGTTAAAATCTTGATATTTTAAGAATAATAAAATAAAAATTTGTAAGAAATCGACTAGCTATCGAGTAATTGAATGATTACACAGGTCAGCGATTCCGATTAGCCTAGTTCATAAATTCTCAATTTTTGCGTGAATTTGCTTGATTTAGTAAAAATGATGAATGAAACTCTGATGTTAATTAACAATTTTTACAGTACCTAGAATACATTTTTTTTCAAATTTAAAGCTTTTTTAAAATTATGTATCTTAGATTTGTGAGAGCTTTTTCAAATTATTTTTAGCTATTATTCAATTCAAAATCTAGTAATGTCCTCGAGTTTTACGAGCATTTAGTAAATCATAAAATATAAAATACAATTTTATAATATAGTTATAATACTAATAGCTATGGCCCTTAAAAAAGGGCTTATATTAGCTTGTATCAGTTAAAAAACTGATATAAGCTTTTGACTGATAGGTATTATTATAAAGTATTCAGCCCTTTTTACGTCCCACTGCTGGGCACGGGCCTCCCTTCAGTACTAGGGGGATCAGGCCATAGTCCACCACGCTGGCAAAGTGCGGGTTGGCAGACTTCACATTTCTTTCAAAAACTATATTATTATAATAATATTTCAATATTTTTCCAGTAAGTATAACAGTTAAACATAATAATGATGATGATGATGTTTTTCCGACTGATATTGGCCACGGCGGCCAATCTCATTGAGACTAGCCAGCTGCGCAGGAGATACTATAGTGCCCAAGTGTTCGCGCAGACACGATTGCACTCGTTATTCCTGTCACGCAGGACCGACGGCTTTAAGTGCTCTCCGAGGCATGGGGATGAAATACCGCTAACTTCACTTCCAAGCTGTTACTGGGACCTCCTTAACAGAAAGACTCAATATTTAAACTTCGCCCGATTCTCGGGACTTGAACCCAGGACCACCGATATGCAGCCGTTCATGGTAACCACTACACCACCGAGGCAGTTGATGCCAAATAATAATAATGATCTAACTCATTTCATCTCACTGAGACCATCTATGTATTAAAGTAAAGTAAAGTAAAGTAAAGGAGATATTGAAATACCTAAGTGTGTTTACAGAAAGAAGTGCCTCCTCCTTGACCCTCAAATTCCGATGGAACGATACTTTGACATGACTGGTGAGAGGTATCGCACAGGACCGACAGCTTTTTCGTGCGCTCCAAAGCACAGTGGTGAAACATCGCCAGCTTCTCAATATCTATATAACTGAGTATTAACAGAAAAACCCAGTACCTATACTTAGCCTGAACTGGACTAGAACCCAGGACATTCGAATCGATATTCATATAATAATAAAGACACTAAGCCAGCGAGGCAGATAATTATAATAATAATAAAAAATACCTTGTCTGAAACGTTAAAGCACTCATTAGAATTATATCTAGTATTTTCGTAGCTTTATTTATTACATAAAGTCCAATGTGAGGTAATAAATAACTGCAAAAGCTTCCTGTAATAACTAGATTGCTCTAAACGAGAATTGAATTGAAATGAATATTCTGAGTGTTTTGAGTAATTTATTAGTAACTTGATATATGAAAGGTGTGGGTTTCGTATTAGGATAATGAAAATTAACTGTTATCTTTATAATATTGTTACTTTCTAATATTATAAATGCTTATTTGTCTTTTTCTATATTATAAATAAATATGTTGGGACATGAACAGACAGCACCATCTAGTTCCATGGTAAGCTGAGTGGCTTGTGTTATGGATACCAGATAGTTGATACACTACACATATTTAACTTTAAATACATACATATTATAAATATAAACACTCATGACTGGAGTACAAACATCGTGCTTATCACACAAATTAATGCCCCCAGCGGGACTTGAATTCGCGACCGCTGGCATAGCAAGTAGGGTCACTACAAACTGACCCAAACGTGCCGTCAATATTATAAATGTCATGTATTTTTTTCAATGTTATACTAGGGATGGCTACCAGAAATGCGCCTTAATGAATAAAAGATGTAAATAGACGTCTATATCTGCAATAGTTGCTAGACTGAAAAGGGTTTGACTGTGATCGATTCTTTTTACCCACCCTTCAAGGCGGCTTACCACACCCTTAAAGGACCAACTAAATTTTTCATACAAAGGACAAAAGATTTTACGAGTCTTCTAAAAGAGCTGCGGGTCGATAAAATTTACTTTGATTTACCTGTTTTTAAATTTTAATCAAACCTTTGTATTCACTTTCGCGTGCTATTTCTCTTTTCGTATCACTGCGTGAATAGCTGGAATTAATTATTTATTTTTGCTCTATTTAAGATCTACACGTTCCTATGTCATTGAGAAATCTGGATGATGTCAATGAGTGTACTTGCATTTAACAAATGTCAATGTTTAAAAAGGTTATATATCTTAAAAATAATCTTTTTATTAAACAAAAAGTAACAATAAAGGACCATTTAGGTAGGTTTGTTTTTGAAATTTATATGACTGGTCTCATGTGAATTTCCTTTGCGTACATTTGATAACCTGTTTAGTAAAAAAAAAATGGCGAGTAATATATCAATAAAAAAATTATTGCCTAATTCTTGTACTCAATTCGGTAAATTTTTTAATCTTAGCCTTCTTCTTATGTCTTCTTATGTCTTATATGCTGTCAAAGAGAAACATAATATTCCTATTCTGAAGTTCAAGGCGCATCATTCTTGTGTACATAAAATAGCACAGATTATAGCTTTCTGATCGATTAGAAAGCTATGATCTGTGCTATGATTTAATTATGGTTGTAAATATGACGTGAACTCGAGTACAGCTTATTTACCTTGCTCCTACACCTTATTAAATCTAAAAATAATTTGATATTGGTTATATTTTTTCCTGAATAGTTCTTAGGTGCCTTTGACAGTCTAGAGACATAACTGTTTGCATATCTTTTTGAGTTTCCTTTCTTTTTTGCATATAATATGTATATGGGCTTGGAATTTTTATAAATCTTCTTATATATCTATACATATAATAAAATTCTGTAAAATACATATAATAAAATTCAAAAAATATTTTTTGCAAAATCTTATTGAAATAGACATTATTATCAATAGAGAGGCCGAATCTATAGTTTTTAGAATTTCTGTCCGTCTGTTACCGCATCACAGAAAAACCACTTGAGGGATTTTGAAGAAATTTGGTATGGTGATAGCTGGTTGTCTGGGTCAACATATAGAATACTTTTACTGCGGGAAAATACGTCATTTCTGAGAAATTGATACTAAACGTTAAAAAATAAGTAGGGACGAGCGCAGCGAGGGTGAATCGCTAGTGTATATATAAGATACAGATAATCACATTCTACTAAATTATCAGTTTTATCCCAAAATATTACATAGTTTTTCTCCAAAAATATCTGAATAATGTAAACCGGTCTTGTCAGACGGGAGACCACTGTATAACTCAGGGCGTGACTGACAGGCGATGTAGATAGCTGACAAAAAACTCGGCGCTCGGCCAAATTGGCATTCGACTAAAACCACCAAGATGCAAATAGGGCGAAAATACGCTTGCCTCTGTAAAAGGAAATATTCAATCGATGGACATATCGTTTTGTAAGGCAGATAGATATTGTATATTGACCATATAATAGATTTGACACTTTTTAAAAATTTTACCTGGATTTTTTTCGCTTATGTTAGTTAGTATTTATTTGGAAATGTAAAAAAAAAATCGTGAAATCTCTAATTGATGTAATCTGGCTATTTATTTCAGATATAGTCGGGTTATAATTTAATAGAACCGACTATAATCATTTGTTAATAGTTTATTATTAACTACCGTTGATTCCCCATACAAACTTTCATCCCATTTTCAGCCCATTAAGGGATGATTTCCGGGATAAAAGGTATCCTATGTTCTTTCCAGGATCTCAAACTATCTTCTTATCAAATTTCATCTAAATCGGTTTAGTAGGTCCAGAGATTACCCCCTATCAATAATCAGGCTAGGGACGAACCCGAGCGAAGCGAGGGAATCACTAGTAATAATATAAAGAGGCAGAGTTTATTTGTTTGAATGCGCTAAGCTCAGAAACTACTACTCGGAATCCGATTTTATCACCGAAAATTATCAGCATGCTACGAGTACTATGCTAGGGAGCAAGGCAGTAATATAATATATAGTATAACTATTCCATACTAACCGTCAAAACGTAGAAAGAAAAGCCGCTAGTCTTATATATAAAATTTCCATGTCACAATGTTTGTTACTGTACTCCTCCGAAACGGCTTTACTAATTTTTACCAAATTTTATATGCGTATTCAGTAGGTCTGAGAATCGGCTACTATCTATTTTTCATACCACTAAGTGATAAGGATAAGGGTGGTCCTCCCAGACCCCACCCCAGGGTCGAACCCGAGCGGAGCGAGGGTGAGTCGCTAGTTAATAAATAAAATTACTGAATGTCTAGTGGTCTTTTAACAAAATAACAAGTATAAGCAAAAGCAATTAATTCTATTGTATATAGACAAACGAATTACACGAAATTCAATTTTCACTAAGCTATTTACGTAATAAAATCAATATCTATAAACGTTTGTATCGAGACTAGCGTTTGCTCGCGACGTCGCTCTCATACTTTATTCAAGTGTAAATGCTGGAAAGGTTCGTAGGCTATAAAATGCAAAAAGTTTTCAAATCGGACTGGTACAAACAGACAAACAAACAAGTAAACAAACCATTCAACTCTCTATATATGAGTATTTTTAATTACAATAAAGGAAATACAATGAAATTAGTATAACCTGTTGAAATAATATCAGAGCGAAAGTAATAATAAAAATTTCATTTTTATTAGATCTATTTATTCATTTATGCTTTGACCGTAAGAAGATTATTGGGATTAAATTAGCATTTGGTATTCATATAATTATTTTTTCATTTCTTTATTACTAGCGACTTACCTCTTAAATATTATATTAATTACGTTTTAACTTTTAGTATAGATTTCTCAGAGATGAGATGATTTCCTGCAGTAAAAAGTATCCTATATGTTGACCCGGATAACTAGTTTTTGCCAATTTCATCAATATCTGTCCAGTGGTTTTCTCGTGACAGACAGACAGTTTGTTTGTTGACAGTTTGTTTTTTGTGTGTTCTAAGCCTTTATTGCCACATTCAACACTTTTTGGTAAATCTTATCAGTAATTTCAAAATTGTCATTATTATCGATACATATACCGAATCTATAGTTTTTAGAATTTTTGTCTGTCTGTCTGTCTGTGACCTTATCACGAAAAAACCACTGGACAGATTTTGATGAAATTTGGTATGATATTAGCTGGTTATCCGGGTCAACATATAAGATACTTTTTACTGCGAGAAAATATCTCATCTCTGAACTTAATGTTAGTTCTATTCTATAAAGCTTTGTAATTATAAATATTTGAATGTATACGAAATTCTTGCACAAAACGCTTGCGTCATTAACAATGTTGTTTCAATTGGCGTGCTACTAAGAAAATGTAATTAAGTTTATTACTCAACAAAATTTACATTTATTTTAGTTTATAAGCTTTTATTATTTCAGTTCTGTTTATATTTTTGAGCTTTATATTTTTAACGTGCTTTTATTAGCTTCACGATCACGACTTCAGTTGCAAACTAACAATCTAATTAAATCTTGGAAGTTAATTTCAACCTACTTCTAATTGTCGTATCGAAATGAAACTTTGTATGTAATGTAGTTTGGAAATATCTTGCAGTTGATCTGATGTTAGAGTTAGGAGATAGATAGTGAAAATATTAAGTGGCTATAAGTAAATCCCTCTAGTTTGTGGTTTGTTTTGACGATTCCCCCACATTTCAATTCGTCAAGAGTGTGTTTCTTTAGTTTTTTTATACTATAATATTATTTGAATTTATTTGATTGAGAGAATATTTTTATAGCAATCATGAAATTTCATTTTTTTTTTGATATTGTTGATTTATTCGTCACAGATTTCAGTGCATATAATTTTATGAAATGAATTGGTTATGTCCACTTGATTGCTGTACA